TGTACATATAAAGAAAAGTTCAAGGAATTCGTGAAAATAATGTATATTTGTATAGGAATTTTATTTATTCGGTGAATATATTGATTTCATCGAAAAGAAACGAAAAATTGAATGATAATGCCCATTTGTCTGTCTGTAAAATGAAAGGTTTATCTCACAGTATTTTATTTAAACTTAAAAGGTTTAATGCTAATGTACGTTAATCTTTACGTACAATCATGTAATATTTATTTTAAAAAGTAAAGAAAAAAAAAGAACAACAACACCCATGACCCCTACCCCCACCCCCTAAAAAAACCGGAATAAGACCATAAATTTTGCACTTTTTTAAATGTAATGTTTTTCTCAAGCCTTTTACATCTGATTTATTATTTTTAAAGAAATTGTTCGACGCTTTTTTAAAAGCTTTTTTAGTAAAAATTCTTCTAGAGGTCATCCTTGCTCTCACACTTAATTTCGGTATTCCGATCTCATCCAAAGGACAAATAACAGAATATTCAAAGTCTTGATATTATTCATTTCTATGTCTAAATAGGCCAATTTTTTATCAATGAATGTTGTCTATGATTTGAAAATTTACGTTTAATTTGGTGAAGTTTTGATTAAACGTTTACTCATAAATTAAGCAGGTTACATTGTTGAAATTTGGGGTTTTGAAAGATTTTAAACACGTATTGGTGTTTAAGTTGCAATTCTTTGAAAAGGGGTAAAGAGTTAAATTAATGACCTAATACATTTGCTAGAGCTGTAATTTCTATTCATTTTTTTTTTCATTTATATGTATATCTTTATTGTTAACTTTTCAAGAATGTTTCGTTTGAAAACTATAAAATTAGAAAAATTGTAAAAGAGCTGCACTGTAAAAGTAATGATAGCCGATCCTTAAAAAGATACTTCAGGTGGGTAAATAATAATTAGAACAGTGCAAAATGTTGATCACGTGGCAGCATTCACATTAAATGCATGTCATGCGTGGCTTTTTTCATCTGCTGACTGAAAACTTTATATCTTTGAATTTTGAAAAAAGGCTGATTGCCTAAATACTCAGTAGTTTTTGTCATTCCATCAGAAGTCCTACAAAGAATGTTAGAAACCCTTTGTTGATTCTGTGGTTGGTTAAAGATACATGTAGAGTATATAGTACTATTTCTTCTGTCTCCATTGCAATTTGTAAAATTAATATTAGACAATTAATTCTTGAAGCAAAACTGACAATTCTTTCTCAAAGGGAAAAATATCGAAAAAGCTTTCTTATGCCAGAACAAACCATGTTTTCCAAGCAAAGACTTTAGTGAATTGCTTTTACGGTTCCGTTTGGTTCATATCTTCCTTATTGGTACGTTTTTCAAAAGAAAACTTTAAGTACTGTAAGCACTGAGCTGACAAAACTTGACAACCCCGTTCATAAAGGATTATAGTAACAGAGTTCAATTTATGGCAGTATGTACATGTGAGGAAATGCGTAAACAAAATATGTATCCCTTAGTTTGAATAATGACAAAGTCCATGATTTTGCTGTAGAAAACACTAAATACATTTCCGAAGGAAACATGAAATACTTTCTGTCAAGTGATGGACAGTCTTTAAGATGAAATACTAAAATCGTTTTTCTCTTTCTGTTTCATACTTGCGTTAATGAATATTGCTTATAAAGCAGAAAGGCAATACCCAATCATGCAAGATACCTTGTTCAAACATGAATGTGAAGGAAAAGTGACATGTGTGTCCTTTACATATTCTTTTAAATTGAAAAAAAAGGAAAAATACTTTCAAATGCTCATTAACTTAAATTCAAAATGAATATTAGCGTTTTCTTATGAATAATAGAGGCCAATTTAATATATTTAACAACATTTTGATCGATGGAGTCACTGTCATAGACATGATGGGATTCTATAATCCGTTTCCAGTTACACAAAACATTTTAGATCAAGTAGAATACAAGACTCAATATGAGGATATCTTCAAAAAAGTGCGGTTTATTTGATCAGAAATCATTGTCTTATAAATCTTTCTAATGCTCTAGTAAACATTCGTTATTAATATTGCATGAAATAATTGTACTGAATATATTTTGTTTAAATCAGTTTCTATAACAAAACATAAGATTTGAAAAAAAAAGGGGGGGGGGCAAATAATATTCTTGATTAATTTTGCATTGTAAAAGATACCTGTATATATATCCTATCACACACAAATTATTATTTTTTTTAAATCAGTAATTAATCTTTGAAAAGGAATATTATCAGCAAGTAAAACAAACGACTTAAATAACCCCCCCCCCCTTTTCACTTTCATCGCAAGTTAAAAAAAATTTTGACTTGAGAAAACTCTACGACCGGGCGAAAATGTATGAGGAGGGATGTCTCTTTTATAAAATATAACTTTCAGCCGTAGGGTATGTCGGTCCATTAAACTCGAAAACTAAGCATCTTTTTCTAGGATTGTCACTCCACTATGTATCAGATCCATGTTAAAATCGCGTATTAAAAGATCGAGGGGGCAATATGAAACCCATCTATCCTTCTTTATTCAATAATACAGAAATGAAAAAGAATTAGATTACATGTATATGAATCAGTACATACTGGTCCCTGCTGACAAAGCAGGAAACAACATTGTCTTCGTTTGTAAGGCTCATTATTAAATAGCATTTTAGAACTTGGATTTAATTCTACAAGAGGTAATCCAGCTTATACTCATAGTTTCCTTTCTAAGGAAGGAATTCTTCAAAATCATATGTCAGTTTTGAATATTTTTAATATCCTGAAGAATCAAAATGAATTTGAATTAATTACCATATATATATTTTGGATTCCGAAACTTCATAAAAATCCTTACGAACAAAGATACATTGCGGGTTCCAATAAATGTCCAACCAAGCATCTTTCTTTACTCCTCACTAAGATTTTAACAGTAGTGAATGAGAAACGTCAAGAGTACTGTGCAACAATATACTAGTATTCAAGAAGTGGTGTAAATCAGGTGTGGATTCGTTAAAATTCCAAGGAACTAATGTACAATTTGAAATCACAAGATTTTACCAAAATCAACACCTTAAAACTTACGACTTTTTAACTTAATACACAACCATTCCCCATGATAAATTCAAGTCCAGGCTTTTGAATTTCATTGACAGCTGCTTTTTCAATAAAAATTGAAATCGTAAATTTACTTACCTTGTCATTGGTCATTTGCACAATTATTTTGTTAAAAACATTCCGATTGTACAAACAAGTTCTCTGAAGTCGACATCAAAAAGATGCTCGAGTTTCTGATTGACAATATCTATATTGTTTTTGGAGACCAGGTTTTCCAACATATCTATTGGAATTCCCATGGGTACCAATTGCACCCCATTATTAGCAGACATTTTTTTGTATTCATATGAAGCAGACTTTGTGCAAAATCTAATGAGTGAAAAGAAGAAATCACCTAACCCCTTTTCTAGGGGAGGAAACCCAAACACTCTTCTCCTTTTTTGAGGTCCCTGCTATATAATTGCCATTTCTATTTTTTAAAGGTCTGGACATAAATTTATTGTTGGAAAGGTTGTATAAAAAATGAATACCGCTTTACTCTAGAGCAAAAAGTTTCCCTGCTAGGTGATTTAAATATTAGTTGTCCAACAATTAATCAATGACTTAAAACAAATCTATAAATTCATCTCTATTTTTCCCAATTTATCCAAAGATTCTATATCAGTGACTAACGAATCAATAAATCAATGAATAAGTCTATTATACTTCAATGATTTTTTATTTCATAAATCATCTGTAAAGAACAGTAACAAGGAGAAAAAAAATATTTTAACAAAAATAAGTTATTAATCTCAAAAGATAATCACCTAACATTTAACACAAGTCTAAGTGAATTTCAGCATCCTGATTATAATTATTTTGAACATCAAATGTACTGAATTGATTCAATGGTCTTAAATTCAAAACAAAATCTGACAACGTCTTTGATATTTTCAAACTATAATTTTTATTGACAGTTCAGGAAATTTCTAGAGGATCAACTGGAAAAGATTTTTTGCTTGAACAATTAACATTTGAAAAAAACATGTACTTCATTAAATTAACAGATATACTGAGAATGTATATAAAACCAATCAATAACATACATTGTACATGTATCTATGATGTCATACAATGAGGTATCTCTGATCATACTTTATATACATTGCAAACCCCAGAATAAATATAAAATTACATACTTTCATCTGAGATTCTATCCTATTTGGTGACCATCCTACTTTTTTTTCCAAACTAAATCTCTTGGTTATCAATTGAGCAAATCAATGTCTTAAAATAATTCAAGACAAAATGTTTTCTAAACGAGTAAAAAAGAAATGGTGTTAAACATTCGTAATAGTTTCCATTTGAATAGTATATAACATTACAGTCACTTGTCTTGTAAGTTCAAGCACAAGGTTGATAACTTTTCAGCAAGGTTGAGAAATTTTGAAGTAATTCTATTATATAATATAATTACAGTGGACCTTCAGATATCTGGACTCCAGATATCCGGATGCTTCAGTATCCGGACGATTTTTCATAAGAACGGAATTTTTAAATCTTATTTTGTCTTGTTTAACTGGTGATTCAGGTATCCAGACGCTTCACATATCTGGACAAATTGACTGGGAACCAAAGCGTCCAGATAAATGAGGCTCCACTGTATATACTTTATTACAATCTCAAAAGCAGTAAATACATGTTCCTGTTTTCTATTTCATTGTGAAAAAATTAACTACACTGTCATAAACTTTTCAACATTGAAATACACAATGACAAAATTATGTTATTTCAAGAAAACTTTAAAGAAAACTGCCAAAAAATGTTCTCATGATTTATATACAGAGCAAGTATTTGCTCAACATAGAAAACCAAAAAAATTAAATACATGTAAATAAATTTTTAAAAAAAACAAAATTCCTTTAGAAAAAGTTATTCTGCAAACATTCTGTTGCAAGCTATATAATTAAAAAGAAAATAACATTCTAAGAATTTTACCTACACAGATAAATGTTAACTCATTTTAACCTTTATTATAAAACTTTAAAAATAAAAAGTTTAAAAAATATGCAAATATTTTTTTGGCATATTTGTGTATTGTTTATTGCACCATTGTGAAACTATGATATGTGCCAGTGAAGCCTCCTATGTGCAAATGTAATTTGATTTTTCTACTATCAGATACATGAACATAGAAATGTAAATCCTTATTGAAAATTCTATTTAAAAAAAATATTTGTATAACAATATAAACAGAAAAGAAAACATGGAGGACAATGTCACATTTATATAACATACATGTATATATATTCTCCACTATAATAAGTTGAGGACTAACATATATAAACACATTCACTTTTACGTTTAGCAATAACATCAATGGACAGTTGAGTAGATCAGATATTACTAGTGTAGAATCTGAAGCAGGGCTCGACATTAACGCTTGTCCGCTTGTCCGGTACCAATGAAAAAAATTTCGGACAAGTGAATATTGCTGGGCACTTGTCCGATTGGACAAGTGATTTTTCTATGTAAAGAAGTCTTCAAATAATAATAATAAAACAAAAACCCAACTATTGTAAAGTTTATCGAATATAAACGGAAGCAGTACATAAACCTGAATTTCGATCCCGATATCAAACGCTATGTAAGTTCACACTTGATCGGGATCGATGTTCACTAATTGAAGCCATACTATTGCATGGCGTGGATCTCACGACGTTTGCGAGTTTAGAATATATTTGATTGATATTACAGATTCACTTGCGAACATTTATGCTATTGTCAGGACAGGAAGTCTAGATAAAATTTAGTTTTATATGTGTTTGTATTATTTATCAATAACAAGCACATTTAATTTTTTAATTGTTTTCAAGTTGACATAACAAGACATTCATTGAAAAATTTTCGGACAAGTGAAGTTGAAGTTCGGACAAGTAAATATCTTGGTCACTTGTCCGAATGGACAAGTAGGGAAAAAAGTTAATGTCGAGCCCTGTGAAGGCTCACTTATTTTTAGGATGATTAGAATCCTTCAGTGGAATGTCTTCGTTTTCCTCCTCGATGATTAATTCTTCTTTATCCCCCAGGCCATTCCCCTGACCACTGGTATTGTAGTACGTGTAAAAACAGGACATGACCATAAACATAATGGTGGCCAGGGCCATCAGAGCAGCAAAGAACATAAACTCAGCTACCTGTAAATAAACATCACAGCTGATATAGTACATGAACATCACAGCTGATATAGTGAAGCAAAATGCCTAAATTACACTGATCTGAGGATTTACATAATTACTTAAAAATCCACCGTTATAAATCTAGTATATCATCTAGAAAATATAGATCATATGCACTATCTATCTCAAGTCCAATAACTACCACTCTAACAATGCAACATACGTCAGGAAAAATTAGATCGTCTCTAATTCTTTATCTGTGTCAATCATCAAGAAATATGCATTGCAGGTAAAACACATCACCTGATGCATGACTAGTGATATGCATCTTTTATGCAAGTTGAGAATGGGTAAGGATTTTAATTAAATTGGATTACATTAAATTCAAAAACTTTAAAACTTTGACATTTTGATCAATGCTGCTGTTATAGCACTTGTAAGTAAAGTAAGTTAAAATAAGGGCACAAGGCAGAGCATCCCCTCAAAAATAGCATATCTAGAAATCAAGATAACATTTGACATCTATCCTGATGCAAATAATATCACTCCAAATTCATGCAAGTACAAACACACACACAAGTCTCTTACTATATCCCCTCAAAGGTGATAAAAATACACTGTCTTATTTCATTTTTATAACAATGTCTTATGAGAGTGAGTATCAATAGAGAGTCTTACTTGTGATGTAAAGTATTGAACCTGAGCTACAATAACAACCACCAAACTTCCCACTGCTGTAGTCATCAACCATGCTGCCTGAACCACTGACTTCATTGTGATAGGAGCCTGAAATATTCAAATAATTACTTTTCTCTGCTTCTCCAATATGAAATTTGGGTGAGGAAATGCATGTATAATAAATTTAATTTGTAAAATTAAAAAATTTGTTCAAAAATACTGTTAAAGTTTTGAAAATACTCCCAAAAAGATTTTTAATTTTACCAGTATGCTGTGGGATGCTGACCTGAGAGTATGCAAAAGCAAGGCCTGTGATGGAAAAGAGGACCTCTCCAACAGTCACTACAAAATACTGAGGTACCATCCACAGGATAGAGACACTGTTCACCTCAACACTGGTCAAGAGACAGGTAACAACCTACAAATAGATATAATATTGAAATATTGAGGTACCATCCACAGAATAGAGACACTGTTCACCTCAATACTGGTCACGAGACGGGTCACAACCTTTAAATAGATATAATAATGAAATACTGAGGTACCATCCAGATAGTATAGAGACACTGTTCACCTCAACACTGGTCAAGAGACGGGTCACAACCTACAAATAGATATAATATTGAAATATTGAGGTACCATCCACAGAATAGAGACACTGTTCACCTCAATACTGGTCACGAGACGGGTCACAACCTTTAAATAGATATAATAATAAAATACTGAGGTACCATCCATAAGATAGAGACACTGTTCATCTCAACACTGGTCAAGAGACGGGTCACAACCTACAAATAGATATAATATTGAAATACTGAGGTACCATCCACAGGATAGAGACACTGTTCACCTCAACATTGGTCAAAAGACGGGTAACAACCTACAAATAGATGTAATAATGAAATACTGAGGTACCATCCATAGTTTAGAAATATTGTTCACCTCAACACTGGTCAAGCGATGGGACACAATCTATATATAGTAACACAAAAAACAATCTAATGAAATACTGAGGTACCATCCACAGTATAGAGACACTGTTCACCTCAACACTGCTCAAGAGACGGGTCACAACCTACAAATAGATATAATAAAATACTGAGGTACCATCCATAGTGTAGGGACACTGTTCACCTCAACACTGGTCAACAGATGGGTCACAATCTAAAATAGGAATACAGAAATCAAACTAATGAAATACTGAGGTACCATCCACAGAATAGAGACACTGTTCACCTCAACACTGCTCAAGAGACGGGTCACAACCTACAAATAGATATAATATTGAAATACTAAGGTACCATCCACAGGATAGAGACACTGTTCACCTCAACATTGGTCAAAAGACGGGTAACAACCTACAAATAGATGTAATAATGAAATACTGAGGTACCATCCATAGTTTAGAAATATTGTTCACCTCAACACTGGTCAAGCGATGGGACACAATCTATATATAGTAACACAAAAAACAATCTAATGAAATACTGAGGTACCATCCACAGTATAGAGACACTGTTCACCTCAACACTGCTCAAGAGACGGGTCACAACCTACAAATAGTTATAATATTGAAATACTGAGGTACCATCCACAGAATAGAGACACTGTTCACTTCAACACTGGTCAAGAGACAGGTCACAATCTACAAATAGATATAACAACAAGAGGCCCACGGGCCTTATAGGTCACCTGAGTATCGTGTAACAACTTTCAAACAATTAAAATTGGTTTGTGTTTTAAACCAGAGGCCATGAAATTCACAATTTTGAAAGAGGCACCATTGCTTATCATAACTGTAAACTTAGCATGCTTACTCTATTTACTTAATACCCAGAGGTAGATCAGAGTAACAAAGAGAAAATGCACTTCCACTTTATAACCTGAGTTGTGCACCTCACCCCAAAGGAACCACTGACCCTAGGGCCACATACTTCAAAATTTTGCAAATTTTATCATAAAATGGTTGATTAATACTAAAGAGCAGATTTCGAAGCAAAAAGCAGTCCCCCCCCCCCCCCCCCCCGAACCCAGGGGGCATAAAAATAACCATTTTGCTAGATGCACCTTTCTTCATCATAAATATATATACTTGGATCATTGGCATGAAACCCAGGAGCAAAGGAAAAGATTTTCAAAGAATTAATGCATTTTCACTAGATAATCAATAGAGCCCCACCTAATACCAGTAACCCTGACCCTGGGGCCATAAAATTCACAATTTTGGAGGAGGCACTCTTGCTCATCATAACTATATACTTAGTTAGTTTATTTAATACCCAGAAGTAGGGCTGGGTATTGAAAGAAATTTTTCGATACGATACATATTGCAATACAGAGGTGCGATATGCGATACATATTGCCGATACAGACAAATGAGAATATACTATTTTTTGCATGTTGTTTTAAAGAGGTGATAGTATTTTTTGATTAAAGCATAAATTTACAATAATAAAACATTTTAAATCCTTGGTTTTTTTTTTTCATTCTCTTTGAATGGACAAGTGTATGACAGATTAATGTTATTTGCCCATATTTTTCTTCAGAAAAATCAAGGCATCGATCCGCTTAGTCAGGTTTCAGACAAGTCCTTGTTGCCACTGGTGCTAAATACTCGTTCTGAAGCCACAGACGACATCACAACACTGACCTGTTTGACTGTGTTGATACTTCATTTGATGTCGTATTCGTGGAAGAATTTGCAGATAAAATATTTTACCAAATTGCTTTGAGTTAAAATAAACTATGACTTAAAAATTCTGATTGATATCTTATTATCAGCTTACATTCCATGACTTTTTTTCGACGCGCCATTTTACCTACCGGAATTGCCTCCAAGTTTCACAGTAGCAAACAGGTCAATGTTGCGATGCCGTCTGAGATCGGTAATAATATATAGGCTCGTTGTTCCACCAGAACTTGCGAGTTCTTGTTGACAAATATAATTACATTTTGCCTTTTTGCTGCTAACTTTTACGTAGCGACCCTACACTTTTGACATGTTTACATGCGTTTAAACGATTTTACATAAGTCATTCGTAATATTAGTCACTTTGACGTTTTTCTTTCTTTTAATTAAACGTTGAAATAATCGAGCAATACGCAAGCATCTGTGTATCGGTTATCGTATTGCTAAAAAATATCGATATATAACGTTTACCGATATACTGATCCAGCCCTACCCAGAAGCAGAGAAGAAGATTTTCAAAGAATAAATGCATTTTCACTATATGATCAATAGAGCCCCGTCCTAACACCAGAACCCTTAACCCTGGGGCCATAAGATACACAATTTTGGAAGAGGCACTCTTGCTCATCATAACTATGTACTTAGTAAGTTTATCTAATACCCAGGAGCAAAGAAGAAGATTTTCAAAGAATTAATGCATTTTCACTATATGATCAATAGAGCCCTGCCCTAACACCAGAACCCCTGACCCTGGGGCCATAAAATTTAAAATTTTGAAAGAGGCACTCTTTCTTATTATAACTATATACTCAATTAGTTTATTTAATACTCAGAAGCAGAGAAGAAGATTTTCAAAGAATTAATGCATTTTCACTATATGATCAATAGAGCCCCGCCCTAACACCAGAACCCCTGACCCTGGGCCATAAAATTCATAATTTTGGAGGAGGCACTCTTGCTCATCATAACTGTGTGCTTAGTTAGTTTATTCAATGCCCAGAAGCAGAGAAGAAGATTTTCAAAGAATATGCATTTTCACTATATAATCTATATAGCCCCGCCCTAACACCAGAACCCCTGACCCTAAGGCCATGAATTTCACAATTTTGGTAGAGGACTCAATGCTCATTACATTCATGCAAATAGTTTGCCTGCTTGATGTCCAGGAGTAAAGGAGAAGAATTTTAAAGATTGCAATAATTTTGGTGGTTTTGGCCCCACCCCTCAGGCCCCAGGGGGCGGGGACCATAAAATTCACAATTTTTGTTCCCCTTTACCCATAGATGCTGTATACCAAATTTAGTTGAAATTGGTTTAGTGGTTTCAGAGAAGAAGCTGAAAATGTTCAAATGTTAACACATGACGGACGACGCACGTCGCACAACGCACGACGACGGACGAAAACGGATAGCAATAGGTCACCTGAGTTACTCAGGTGACCTAATAAAATACTGAGGTACCATCCATAGTTTAGAAACATTGTTCACCTCAACACTGGTCACGTGATGGGTCACAATCTATATACAGTAACACAAAAAAAAATCAATCTAATGAAATACTGAGGTATCATCCAAAGTATAGAGACACTGTTCACCTCAACACTGGTTGGTCAAAAGATGGGTCACAACCTACATATAGGAATACAAAGATCAATTTACTGAAATACTGAGGCACCATCCATGGCATAGAGGCACTATTTACCTCTACTTTCCTCAAGGTACTTGATATAGTCTACCAAATCACAGAGGAATGAAAAGATCAAACTAATACTCAAATTAATCACAAACTTAGGTACTATTTATAATATAGAAACACTGTTCATCTGTGTCAATGTGTACATTATACATACACTACTGCAGATCACTAAATTTTTGCGACACCTTATTTTTGCGAGATAGTCATTGACTCTTGATTAGCGAGACAAAATTTTCACGAATTGTTGTTATTGCTCTATATATTCTTAAGGAATACTATTATATGCGAGAATTAAATTTACTACACTGCCTTGTGTAATTACGCGAAAATAAAGTTCTCGCGAATAAAAAGTGATTTACAGTATATCAAATGTCTCAATGAATTGAAGTCCATCCACAAAATAGAGACCTGCATGTCTTAAAAATTAATGTAAAGAATTCCTACTTTAAATTATGATAAAAAGTAAGGTTTTGTGTGTATGCTAGATAAACTATGAAAGGAAATTTAATGCAGTTCAATTGAGCAAGAGATCTTTCTTCACTAACTTATATACATGTACATCCTATTATGTATCTTGAAATCCATCAGAATAACAAAACTCTCTACCTTTGTTTTATTTCTGGCGATCAATAAATTATACACAGCCCCTTGTCCTATTGTGATGGAAGTGTTCAACTTGGTCCAATTCCCATCAGCAGAGCTCTGCCAGTATATGTTGTACCTAAAGATATATCAAGAATCAGATCTTGACAACAACCAAACATGTAAACTTTGTCTGGTGCCCAAAACTCCACTTTGTCATACAATCTGTACACTGACAATCATTTTTAATCTTACAGTTTTACATTTATTATAATAAAATGATTTTAAATGATGAAGCAAAATAAACAGTCGTCTCTTGTTTTTTACACTGTAATGGTATATGTAGCTTGTTTAAACATAGTCTCAAACATCTATACAGTGTATCTTCAATCTCAAGATGTCAAAATGAATAGAAAGTCCCCATTACTTTTAAAGTTTTTCAAGTTACATTGTACCATATCTTTTATGTGAAATACCTTAAGAATGTCTGAGAACTTACTTTCCAGGTGCCACTGTATGGAATGGAAGACTTTCCTGCTCTGAAGAAGGATACAGAACACCGGACTGATTGGAAATATTTCCCTGATGGCTTGAGAGGACAACAACTATCTGAGCACCAGGCCAAGCATCATTGAATACACTATACAAAGAGAATATTACGCTTTACCAATCTCTCTCTGTGTCTCCTTCCTAAACAGGACTACATACAGTCCCTCCAGGTATTTATTTTACTAAGTTTTTTTTCCTAGTGATAAAATATAACAATTACAACAAATGTGATAAAATATAACAATTACAACAAATGTAGGGAAGAACACAACATACATCTTATTACAGATAATTGGCAGTATAATTATGAGGATATGTTTTCTTACTACCACCACACAGACATAGTATGCAGTGTCACATTTATTATAAAGAAGGATTTGTTCCATTCTAGATTCACAGACTGACTACTAGTGGTAGTCCTAAAGATAAAGATGCTAGAGTACATACTGACATGATAAGATCCCTCATCTGCCATAGGTGGCATTCAGAAATTAATGAGATATTCCCATCTGAATGCATTGCAAAAACACTCAAGAAACAGTATACCTTAGCTTTGAGTTCCCTTCTGATGGATGTGAATGCAAATCTTCCACCTAAAAAAGTTTGCATTAATGAGAATGAAATCCACATACATGTAAGTATATTTCAAAAAATATTTTTGTTAAATGCAAAAATTACAAACAAATTCATAATTAAGTATATTAACTAGATAGAGCAATTAAAGATTAAGGAAGAAGTTTCATGGATGCAATCCCTAGTGACTCACTTTATTGTAATATGTTTTGTTCAATGGAAAAAATTAAATAAAAAAAGAAATGAATTGGAATATTTGACTCATTCAAAAATTGAACGATAACAAGTTAAGCTACACATCTAATATGGTAAGATTCAGACTCACAATCTTAAAATCAGTTGTATTGCTGTCTTTAGACCAAACAAATATCCTAATGTTATGTAGGGATTCCAGAGACACTTCACGAGACAGGGAAGGAAGACACGATTTCACGTCTACTTTATATTTACCAGCAGTTATCACCTTGTAATCACTCTTCTGCAATGTTTAATAAAAAATTATACATCAGTTATCCTTTAAAACTGTTCAACAGGTTTAAATCACATATATGTGATCTTTTTTAAATGGAATAGAATATTGAACAAATTTTCTATTTTAAGCACTTTCATAAGCCACACTGCCAGTAACTTCTCACCTGGAAGGCAGGTATTTTAGAGCTGAGTGCCCCTCCCATCTTTACATTTACAGTAACTTCTCACTTGGTAGGGAGGTATTTCAAGCTGAGTTCCACTCCCATCTTTACATTTACAGTAACTTCTCACCTGGTAGGGAGGTATTTTATAGCTAAGTGCCCCTCCCATCTTTACATTAACAGTAACTTCTCACCTTGTAGGTATTTTATAGCTGAGTTCCACTCCCATCTTTACATTTACAATAAATTCTCACTTGGTAGGGAGGTATTTTATATCTGAGTGCCCCTCCCATCTTTACATTTACAGTAAATTCTCACCTGGTAGGCAGGTATTTTATATCTGAGTGCCCCTCCCATCTTTACATTTACAGTAACTTCTCACCTGGTAGGCAGGTATTTTATAGCTGAGTGCCCCTCCCATCTTTACATTTACAGTAAATTCTCACTTGGTAGGGAGGTATTTTATATCTGAGTGCCCCTCCCATCTTTACATTTACAGTAAATTCTCACTTGGTAGGGAGGTATTTTACAGCTGAGTTCCACTATCATCTTTACATTTACAGTAACTTCTCACCTGGTAGGGAGGTATTTTATAGCTGAGTGCCCCTCCCATCTTTACATTTACAGTAAATTCTCACTTGGTAGGGAGGTATTTTATAGCTGAGTTCTCCCATCTTTACATTTACAGTAAATTCTCACCTGGTAGGGTGGTATTTTATAGCTGATGTCTCCCATCTTTACATTTACAGTAAATTCTCACCTGGTAGGGTGGTATTTTATAGCTGAGTTCTCCCATCTTGACATTAATATCACAGTGTAGGGCATTGTAGAAGGACACCCCAGACTCTGTACTTTTTAATGGAGATTCTAAACTTGCCTACAATGTAATAAATAAGAGGTAAACATACATAGCTGGTAACTGCCAGTGTCTTTGAGCAGGATAAAACCTCGGAGCAAACATTAGGGCAAGCACAGATGCTTAATCAGTTTTAGATAGTGCTCACCATACTGTACTTGGCATTTGGTGTGTCTAGACTCTGACATCGCTTGATGTCGTATTTAAGGTACATTACCACCGAAGCCTGAACATCATTGACTTGAAGAAGAATGTTAAATATACTACATTTTTGTTCAACTTTGATGGTTATTCTCACAAGAACGTAGCTTAAAAAAGCAATGCTTTGTATGTCCAAAAGTCCAAAACTGAAAAAAAATTTGTTTAGATCAATGTGTAGCTCTGAATTTTCTCTTTGTCCAGGCGTTGTTGTTAGACCTTGTATTGCTTAATATATATTCAAATAACAATACTATAAATGTACTATACTAAGTACATCAAATACATGTACATTTAATGTCAGTCAATAGAGCACTTGCTCCATGACCAGATGGTAGTGGATTTCAGACTCACGTCACAACAAATCTAAGGTGATAAAAAATTGATATAGCAATTGTTCCTTTGGCAGCTTAGGACTTTGAAGTGAAAGTTGCTGGTGTTTTGAATGATTTATTAAATTCTAAGGCCCAATGCAGGCACTGACATGATAAAGATCCCTCACTGCTGGAAGGCCCGAGTGAGTACGTCTTAATTTGAAACCCCTCAAAGGCAGTGACAACTCATAGAAGTGAATTAATCTTGCAATGCACATTAAATGTAAATAATCAATCCATCCAAAAACACAGTACTTCATTTTTATACCTTATACCAGCATTCCTGATTATGATAAAATAAATGTTGCACCTGAAAACTACATTACACTTTGCTCTTTGGTTTACAGTAAAACTCGTTTAGTACGAACACAGATATAGCGAATTCACGGATATAGCGAAGATATCTTGGATCCCCAGCTATGTGAATTTAACATTTTCCTTATACGGATATAACGAATTATGGATAAAGCAAAGTAATTTTATAGGACCCAGTGACTTCGCTATAACCGAGTTTTACTGTATAAACAATATACTTAATATCTAGTTTTTGTATTTGTATACATGTACATTTGGGTTTACCAAGTGAGTACAACTGACCTCTATTTTGATTTGAAGAAGTCCTGCCATAATGAAGGATATCACAGTTAGCACCATGCCTGCCGACATTCTTTGTAGTGGTCTGGAAAAAAAACATTTAGCTGATGTTAAATTGAAAGATGCACATATTTGGAATTAATTGCACTTCACAAAAACATTTTCTTTCATTAAATAATGAAAGAACTGGTACAAAATAGATTATTTTAAACAGGTACCTTGTAAGAAAGTGGCACTTTTCACAACATGGATAAACCAATTTTTCAAAGATTGGAATGAGGAGTAATATCAGGAATGGATTTAGAGCTGACATCTGATCAGGCTTCAGGGTCCCAAAGACACCCTGATGGAGAAGGGAGAGTTAAAAACAAATAAAACAAATATATATGTGTTTACTTCTCTTGTATTGGGCCCTTTAGCCAAGGGAAAACAATACCTAAGATATTCTGAATTTAAACAAGATATTTTAAGAATTATCTGTTTATGAATTTTAAAACTGATCTTCTGTAAAAGAAAACATTCCATACTAAGTCTCCATTGAGTTTTTCAGCTTGAAGTGTCCAGCGAGATCCCTGTTGATCAGACAGCGCCCAGAAAAGTGGAGCCGGAATAAACATAAATAGCACCTTCAGTAAAATTTGTACCTCTCTGATAAACTCACACTGAAAAAAAATAATTATTCACAAGAATAAACTAAAAAAAAGACCTTCAGTGAAATCTGTACCCCTTGGATAAACTTTGCTGTAGATACAGTAAAATTTCATTTTAAAAAGGTCACTTGGACATTGAATTTTGCTTCCTTATCAACAAAATTCTTTACATCTGTATATTCAGAAACATTGTAGAGAGTCTTCCACAGGACTCATAAAAAGTTCCTTTAAAGTGAATTCATTGTAACCATGTTTTACTGTAAAACACAACATACGTGTACTTTACTTCCACTTAGAGGTGCTTGATTAAAATTGATACATGGATAAATTATAATGAACTTTTGTTCATATGCAAGGAACATCCTTTTTAAAAACAGTTCCTCAAATGCGTTTATAAATGCAGCATGATCGGTAAGAAAAAGCTAAAGCCTAAGTTAAATGTAACTGATATTTTACTTGAGAATATGTTCAGTGACCAACCCTAAGTTAAGTCAGGAAATCACATCGAAAAACTCTAATTAATGAGTTTTGTGAACGACAAACTACGGATAACTATTTTTTCACAATGTGACGAGAAAAAGAATTTAATTACAAATACCAGAAATTCCTGAATAAAATGTCTTATAAATATTAAAGAACTGGTTTATAAACACTTCTAACAAATAAACTTAACAGATACACACCTCAAACTTGCTGTCTGCATAGTACAGCCAGTGTTCCTTTTTATTAGGGCCACCACAATTCCTTATTTTCCCACACAATCCATACTGAAGAAGAGAGGTGTATAATTGTAAAGTAAGTTTCTTATCTGCATTCTATTTAACAAACACTGCTGATAACCTTTACAGAGTTCAAACATCAATTTATTTGATTTAATTTAAATTGGAAAGGAAAAAAAATCTTCGCTTGTTTTAAAAATGAATTTTTAAGTATTTATGAAAACTTTCGATCAAATGATGAAACAAAAGAAATTTAAACGAGAGCCGTGTGAGTAGAAATTAAAGACACTTAGACTTATCTTATGATTAAATGACTTTCAAAATTTGACAGATTCTCTTACAAATAATACAACCAAACTTACCCCTATACATTTAAAAACTCGTCCTATCAGATTTCCTGATGGCGGAACCTTCTTGTATAAACTGCTTCCAGCGATAAAAATGACTAAATATATAATGTAGTGATTTAAAAACATGATTTCTACATGTTTATGAATAATTTTCAATCAATTCCACTTTGAAATGTGTATTAAGTTTTTACTTTGATTTTCCTTGCACAGATTGCTCAGTACTTACTTGTGGCTAAAATCATTAAAGCTGCTGGAATTCCAAAGGCTAAAGGATAACATTCATTGCCAAAGCACTTAACATCAGCTGTGGAAAGAAATTAAAATACAAGTGGTTACATAGAAATCCAACTAAAACTTAAAGTGACAGTAGTGAAATCAATATCTGGAGCAAAGGGGGGTTATAGCAGATGACCACAATTACTGACTTTACATTTAATATTACGTGTTATAATAAATTTTGATCCTGAAAACTTTTAATAACAAACCTCTCAATATTGGAGTCAAGACAATGGACAGCATACTTCCCAGGTTTATTGAAAAGTAGAAAGCAGAAAAGAAAGTGTATCTCTCTTTTTCCTATAATAAATAAAAACAAAAGGCCCATCAGCCACAATGCTCATCTGAGTCACTATACCATTTATTTACTGTTCTTAAAGGGAGTTAGGATTTGAACAAACCTACATCTACTGTACATTAATCTATGCAAAAAAGCTTTTACATTATAAGTTTCAATATTTCTAGCACATCAGTTCTTGAGAGGATTGTTATAAGATACCATTTTCATTTTCACCAATTCTTAACTATCTCCCCTTAAAATAATGTGTGGCCCTTCAAACAAACACACTTAAGGCTGCTTTACCCAAGGTTGCTTTATGGCAGGTTTGTTGAAAATGCCCCTATGTTGCTTGAGAAGAAGTAGAAAAGTATGAAAAGTTAATGACCAACAACAACATTGGATTTTGATCAAAAAGTTCACTTCAGTTTTCAGCTCATGTGAGCTAAAGAAACTAGAACTGTCCAATAGGGACAAATACCCCCCGCTGGGTTTTTCAGAGAAGGTGCCAATTCAAAAATACTTTATGGATCTAAAGGTGTTCGCAATTTACTTACAAAAATTTGCAGTGAAATATAATTGCTCATCATGTTTCTTAATGAATGAAACAAAGGTGCAACCAAATGAAACATCAATACTAATACATTGTAATTCCATTGTAACATTATTTTTTTTATTTAATTTTTTTATTTCTGCATTAAAAAAATATATTGCAATTATGTGTTATGTCACTCTGCAAACTGATTGTTGAAAAAAAATCATATTATACAAAATCAAATTAATCTTGATAACTTTATATCAAATTCAATTGAAAATAAAGAGCTGGTCATCCAGTAATGAAGTGCTTTGACAGACAATAAATTACAATTAAGAGAATAAGAGAAGAGAGATCTTTAATTCTTGTGCCTGATTCCCAGGATATTATACATGGTTGATAATAAGATGCCTTAATGTTCAACTTCCCACACCAAACTCATTAATTTATCTTTAATTGGATGCATGTCCAGTCATTATTCCCAAGAGATAAATAAAATTACATTATCTTCTGTGCAATGTAAAAACTATTTTTAACACTTGATGATGTTTCTTTTTTTAAAGTTTATATGAGTAGTTTTAAGCTGTAGTATTTTTGTACAGATATTCTAGATTCTATGTCTCAAACCTTATACATGAGCCCAAAATGAACAAGTCAATTAAAATAAAAAACAAAACCTGTAAAATGCAAAAAAATGAACAAAAAGAGTTGAAAACCTTCATATGGTGAATAATAAGTGTACAAATTTTCAGATTAATCCTTGCAATAGTTTCTGAGAAACGGTCTGGACAAAACCACAAAATAAAAATGAAAAAACACCTGTAAAATTCAAAATAATAATCGAATCAAGATGAAAATATCAGGTGCACAACTTCATATGGTGAATAATATTTGTACAAATTTTCAGACAAATCCTTCCAATAGTTTCTGAGTAATGGTCCGGACAAAATCTCGTCTACAGACAGACAGACAGACGGACAGACGGACATGGTGATTCCAATATACCCCCCCTAAACTTCGTTTGCGGGGGGTATAAAAAGTGTATCCATATCAATATTGTTCAAATTTCATCAAAAAAAAAAATATTCGTCTCGTATTTCAAAAGTGGAAACTATTTCTTGCACACACATTTAATCCTTTCCCTCACAAAATTTTAAGTGTCTTAGCTACATCATCAGACCATTTGCACACATTGCTACATGTTTCTATATTACCTGGTCTGCCCTAAACTGATCAGCTCCGAATGATGAAACATTTGGTTTAATTCCACCTGTACCAAGACCAATGAGAATCAGACCAATAGCTGGACCATACCTGGTAAAGACAGGTGTAATATTACAGGTATTTTGTACTCAAATAGAGGTGTAATAATTCATTGGACTACACGTACCATTCAGGAGGAGGGAGAGCGGTGAGGGCCATGACAAGGTTACCAGTGGCGTACACCAGAGACACAATCAGTATAGTCCTGAAATCAAAGCAGCTTCATTTAATCATCAAATAAGTTATAAGCATTAAACAACACATATCATTCACACAAGTTTTATATGTACATTGTATACAATGTAACATAAATTCTGTGTACATGTACCCTTATGGATCTTATGGATAATTTTAAACATTAGTACATGTATACTGTAATATAAGTGGAAATTTTAGCGAGATGCAAATTAAGCGATTTCTTCTTAAAAACTGTTACATAAGTTTCATTTTTTATGAGACTGAAGTAAGTTTAGCTATTCTAAAATGCCCTCTAAAGAAGCTAATACAAATAAAACACAATTAAATTTTAGCAATATTCAACTTTAGCGATCTCAGCAGCTTGGCTTATAATGCCAAAATTAAATGCTCACTAAAAATTCTACTTATATACAATACACATTTTGATATATTTATGATTACTTGTATCTTCCAATGTATCCGTCGGCCAAGATAGCACCAAAAAGTGGAGAGAAGTAACATAGCATGACAAAAGAATGGAAGATGGAGGTCCCCACATCTTCACTGAATCCCAGCCAGTTAGTGAGGTACAGGATCAAAACAGCTAAAGAAACAGACAAATCATACAATCTCCAGAAATACAGCAATTACAAGGAGTAAAAACTGCAGGGATTTTATAGTGAAAATCTCTTTCAAATTGAATTAACTGATTAAAAATAGAGACCAGAAGCTGATAAATGTTGACTTTGCTTATAACAGGAGACTTGGGAACAAAACCCATAAATGATTGAGTTTAACTGCTTCCTTACATGGACCTACAATTAATATTGAGTTTGTCTTACCTCTCATGCCATAATAAGAAAACCTCTCACAAAATTCATTTCCCAGGATGAAGAACACACTGTTGGGATATTTCTGGGAGCGAGTCATTATATTCTGCATTTAAAAAAAAAATCGTACTCTACATCATATTTTTTTTGTTTCTAAGATTCCCTTTATTTATTTATAATAACAAGCTTTCTTGACAATTAAAAAGTTAACTAAATTTGCATATTTCCATTTCAATTTGTTTTGTACTGTACTCCTAAACTCTGTTAAGATTCTATAGTCCTTTTATCCCGCCTTACCTTGACACAACCTCATGCTTTCCCACTCAGTTTCCCATCTCCATGTCCCCATTCTGATTTATCTCCCTTTATTTTCCTTTAATCCCGCCTTACCTTGACACGCCCCCATGCTTTCCCACTCAGTTTCCCATTTCCATTTCCCCCTCCGATTTATCTCCCTTTATCTTCCTGTTATCCCACCTTACCTTGACACGCCCCCATGCTTTCCCACTCAGTTTCCCGTCTCCATGTCCCCCTCCTGATTTATCTCCCTTTATCTTCCTGTCTTACCTTGACACGCCTCCATGCTTTCCCAATCAGTTTCCAGTTTCCATGCCCCCCTCCTGATTTATCTCCCTTTATCTTCCTGTTATTCTGTCTTACCTTGACACGCCCCCATGCTTTCCCACTCAGTTTCCTGTTTCCATGTCCCCATCCTGATTTATCTCCCTTTATCTTCCTTTTATCCTGCCTTATCTTGACACGCCCCCATGCCTTCCCACTCAGTTTCCTGTCTCCATGTCGCCTTCCTGATTTATCTCCCTTTATCTTCCTGTTATCAAGCCTTACCTTGACACGCCCCCATGCTTTCCCACTCAATTTCCCGTCTCCATGTCCCGCCTCCTGATTTATCTCCCTTTTTATCTTCCTGTCTTACCTTGACACGCCCCCATGCTTTCCCACTCAGTTTCCCGTCTCCATGTCCCCCTCCTGATTTATCTCCCTTTATCTTCCTGTTATTCTGTCTTACCTTGACACGCCCCCATGCTTTCCCACTCAGTTTCCCATCTCCATGTCCCCCTCCTGATTTATCTCCCTTTATCAAAGAGGAATCTGCAACAAAACAAAATGTATTATAAAAACTATGATTAATATTTATTGTGTTATTTATTCAGTTGATGGAAAAATTTCTAAGACAAGAATATATACACTGGTACCTTTTACCCTGTCTCATTTACAGAGATTAAGTTGGACCATCAATCATAAAAAATCAGTTTCTACTTACCAGTCACCATTTTAATTTATACATGTACTTCTAAAATACTTCACCTATATACATCACGTATGTAAGGAGTCAAGACATAACCTATATCATATGTTTATTGGTCTTCAATATGGTGCCAGAATATTATGATAAATAAATATAGCGTTATATACTTTATTCTAGTGGTGCATTTCTAATTGAAACATAAAAGCTATGTATACATATCACAACAGCTGCCTTATCATTTTACAACATGTAATAAAATTTGTAATTCTTTATTGTGAGTTCAAAGGAAATTGTGCTTTGCTGCATTATCTGAATTTTACAAATTATACCCGACAAAACATCAAGTTGCATTTCATCATGTCTAGTCTTTCTACTTAAAACATAGGTAATCAAAGATTACGAAGCTCACCTCGACGAATCTTATCAATGTAAGTAATGCAAATCTCACATCATATTTTCTTAATATCTAGTATTTATCCCAACAACAATATTCTTGCAAGTTGTGTTTAACCCCTTACAGGGCATATACACATTTCTACGCATGTAGCGTGAAAAACATGTATAGTGTAAACAAATATTCATAACTTTGTTAATACTGCAGATATCAAGGACTTCAAGTTCATCAGGATTAATCTGTTCCCAAAACTATAACCTGGTCTCTTGTTTGGAAAATATAGGTCAGATTCAGCATTCAAAGCAAGTCTGTTAAGTGTCCATCCCTAGATGCATCATCCATACAAGTTTGGTTCAGATAGGTCTTATAGTTACTTGGGAATGAAAATGTAGGTCAGATCCAGCATCCAAAGCAAGTCTGGTAGTGTCCATCCCTAGATGCATCATCCATGCAAGTTTGGTCCAAGTAGGGCTTATAGTTACTTGGGAATGGACCTGCTCCAAAAACTTGAACCTGGTCACTCATCTGGAAAATGTAGGTCAGATCCAGCATCCAAAGCAAGTCTGGTAGTGTCCATCCCTAGATGCATCATCCATGCAAGTTTGGTCCAAGTAGGGCTTATAGTTACTTGGGAATGGACCTGCTCCAAAAACTTTAACTTGGTCACTCATCAAGGAAATGTAGGTCAGATCCAGCATCCGAAGCAAGTCTGGTAGTGTACATCCCTAGATGCACCATCCATACAAGTTTGATCTGGGTAGGGCTTATAGTTACTTGGGAATGGACCTGCTCCATTAACTTTAACCTGGTCACTCATCTTGTCTTGGGAATGGACCTGCTCCAAAGAATTTAACCTGGTCATTCATCTGGAAAATGTAGGTCAGATCCAGCATCCAAAGCAAGTCTGGTAGTGTACATCCCTAGATGCATCATCCATACAAGTTTGGTCCAAGTAGGGCTTATAGTTCCTTGGGAATGGACCTGCTCCAAAAACTTTAACCTGGTCACTCATCTGGAAAATGTAGGTCAGATCCAGCATCCAAAGTCTGGTAGTGTCCATCCCTAGATGAACCATCCATCCAAGTTTGGTCCAAGTAGGGCTTATAGTTACTTGGGAATGGACCTGCTCCAAAAACTTGAATCTGGTCACTCATCTTGTCTTGTGAATGGACCTGCTCAAAACTTTAACCTGGTCACTCATCTGAAAAATCTAGGTCAGATCCAGCATCTGAAGCAAGTCTGGTAGTGTTCCATCCCTAGATGCATCATCCATGCAAGTTTGGTCCAAGTAGGGCTTATAGTTACTTGGGAATGGACCTGCTCCAAAAACTTGAACCTGGTCACTCATCAAGGAAATGTAGGTCAGATCCAGCATCCGAAGCAAGTCTGGTAGTGTACATCCCTAGATGCATCATCCATACAAGTTTGGTCCAGGAAGGGCTAATACTTACTTGGGAATGGACCTGCTCCAAAAACTTTAACCGGGTCACTCATCTTGTCTTGGGAATGGACCTGCTCCAAAAAATTTAACCTGGTCGCTCATCTGGAAAATGTAGGTCAGATCCAGCATCCGAAGCAAGTCTGGTAGTGTACATCCCTAGATGCATCATCCATGCAAGTTTGGTTCAGGTAGGCCTTATAGTTACTTGGGAATGGATTTGCTCCTAAAACTTTAACCTGGGATGCCGACGCTAACGCCGACGCCAACGCCAGGGATATAGCATAAGCTCATCTCGACTTCGTAGAGGTGAGCTAAAAAAAACCTAAGAATCTAACGTTATAGTTTTCAATAATGATTTCCTTTGTCATTGACATTTTTTTTTCAATCTTGATATAACGACAAAATACCCATGAAATTCTTGAGAATATACCTGATATTGGTCATGAAATTGTTGTTTAAAACTCAAATTCAACACAAATTTGTTTATTGAATGAAATAATAAAGTAACTACTCAGAAGTTTTGTTCAATGTATTTCCTAAGATATTGAAGAGTAATATAATATTCTCAGATCTCTCCACTTGTGACCTAAAAGAAGTCAATATACATGTACGTTTCTGATGGCTCTCATGAAATTTAAAGATGATAATTTAACCTGCAGCATACACAAATGCCATCAATTAAGGCATATACTATGATTATGGGTGTCTGTTTATTAAGCCATTCAAGCATGAAATCTTCTTGATACCTGTATATTTATCACCCTGATCAGTGAGTGATCAATGATGGATAACAGGATCCGGGTTCTTCCCACCTGTTGACATGACTACACAGTGTAGTACATGTATCGTATACAGATTTAAACTGGGGCTGCCCAAAATCACAGTCAATAATTGTATTTAAAGTTAATAACTGTCAATATTTCTCAAGGGAGCCAGAATCCATTTACTGTTTCTCTATAAAGAGAATGCAGAAACTACACTTTACTGATCATGCTGATTATATCCAAGAATTTTATTCACTGAATTTCAATTTAAGATAATAATAATAATAATAATAATAATTCTTTATTTAAAGAAGGTAACCCGATTAGTGCACGCACTATTCTTCCCCGGGGCCTTCTATAGACAAAATATCAACATACATACATACATATATATAAATATACAAAATCAATAAATAATCATAAGCTATTTCTACATTGTTTTACAAATTTTTTGACTTGATGCTTGAAAGCATTGAGTGTTTGAGACATTCTTATTTGTACAGGTAAATTATTCCATAAGATAGCACCAGAGTATTGAAAGGAGTTCTCAAAGAGTTTACATTTATGAGATGGTACACAGAGGTCTAAATTAGATTCAGATCGGAGATTGTATCGATTATTACACTGGAAGTCAAACATACTATTTAGATAAGTAGGGTGAGAGTTGAACAATGATTTATATAACAAAACATATTTATTTACAATAAGTTGCTCATACACTGTGAGCCAATCTAGTTTCTCAAAGAGAGGTTGTGAGGGTGCATCAGGAGGAGCATCTAAAATACATCTTGCAGCACGTTTTTGAAGTTTATATACTCTGTCAAGATTTGAGTGAGATGTATTACCCCAAACAGTTAAACAATAATCAATTGAAGGCATAATATATGCATTGTAAAACAGCTTGCGTGTTTGAATAGGGAGAAACTTTTTAATTCTACGGAGGGCAGAAATTTTACGTGACAGTGTTTTACAAACATGGTCAATGTGTACATTGTATTGTAAAGAATTATCTAAATAAACTCCAAGAATTTTTTCATTTGATACAAAATCAAGTTTTCTGTTAGATACAAACAGATTAATTTCATGCTCAGAAAAATTTGATCTCTTTTGATGCGTACCAACTAACATGCATTTAGTTTTTGTAGCATTTAGAACCATTTGATTTTGAGAACACCATTTTTCTATAAAAGCTATATCCGTTGATAATGTATGTACAATAGTTTGAGAATCTTTACTTGATGCATGTAAAGTGGCATCATCTGCAAATAAGTCTAATTTGGATTTTGTAATACATAAGGGAAGATCATTAATGTTAAATAAAAACAGAAGAGGACCTAGAATAGATCCCTGTGGAACTCCCGCTGTGACTTGCTGATAAGATGAACTTACCCTCTCAAGGAACAGGTTTGTAGCATGTATATGTGAAATTATATATTAAATACAAATACATATAAATTCATCATATTGATAAAAATAAAATATATTCATAAGATAATCACATGTACATCATGCTGAATTCAAATATTTTGTTTTTGAGATGATCAAAAACTTATTTCTGTAAAGGAAAACTTAACAAAAACCCTGATCACAAGAAAAGTTTAATATCAAATGGTAAGGTGCTTGAATGATAATGTCTTGAAATCTACAAACTGAACTTCCACATCAAAATAAGTTTTACAAGTTTCACTAAAAAATAGAGACATAAAAGAAGCAAATCAAAGTTCCTACCGTGTCATTAAACTTGCAAAATAAACAATAGATGTTTTGGGGTTTTTAAATATACATTGTATCTTTGTGCATGTTGAATTTTACTTAACATGCTTAAAAAGCTAAATAAAACACTTGACTGTAAAGTAAATACAGTGTATCTAAAGCAGTCTGTGCTCTAAGCAGGCAGAACTATGGAAGGAGGGGTGGGAAATCAACCTCCCATGAGCAACTAATCAAAAAACCTTTTCCTGAGTATTAATTTACTATTTATCAAAAAAAGTGCAGGGAGGAGAAAAAACATTGGCACTATATAGATTTCTCAAAATCTTATCAATTTATTACCCTGACAGGGTGCATTCTAAAACAGGATTGGCATATTATTATTTTTTTATGCCCCCATAAACAAAGTTTCCGGGGCATATAGTTTTTGTCGTGTCCATCTGTCTGTCTGTCTCTATCTCTGTCTGTCTCTCAGTCTCTCTGTTTGTCCACAAAAACTTTAACCTTGCCCATAACTTTTGATTTAGTGGAGCTATGACTTTCACATTTCACATGTGTATTCCTTGTGACAAGACCTTTCTTTGGGTACCACCAAATTTGACCTTTTGACCTTGACCTTGGTGTTTGACCCACTTTTACATGAAAATTTTAAACTTTTACTTTGTCCATATCTTTTGAACTGTAAATACCAGGACATTTATACTTCACATATGTAATCTTTGTTGAAAGACCTTTCATTGGATACCAACAACCTTGACAGTTTGACCTTGACCTTGTAGATCTCCGTACTTGTGAAAAAACTTTAACCTTAGCCATAACTTTGGAATGGTAAGGGATAGGGCTTTCATACTTCATATGTGTAATCCTTGTGAGAAGACCCTTCATTGGATATCAAGAACTTTGACCCTTTGACCTTGACCTTTGAGACTGACCTACTTTTAAAAAGCAAACCTTGACCATAACTTTTAAAGGATTAGGGCTAGTGCTTTCATACTTTACATATTTAATTCTTGTGACAAGACCTTTCATTTGATAACAAGAACTTTGACCCTAACCTTGGAGTTTGACCTACTTCTAGAAAAATTTAACCTTGGCCATAACTTCTGAACGGTTAGGGCTAGGGCTTCCATACTCTACATAAGTATTCTAAGTGGCAAGACCTTTCATTTCATACCAATTATATTGACCTTTTGACCTTGACCTTGGATATTTTTGTACTTATTCAAAAAACTTCAACATTGGCTTACTTTCAAATTTCACAATTGTTTTCCAATGAGAATACCCTGCTTTTGGTACCAATTAATTAAATTTGCATATAAGAAAAGTTTTAATAATCTTTGCTATGCTGCCATACAGGGGCATCAGTGTTTCACAAACACATCTTGTTTTTTTTAAGATATTGTAAAAGGTGAAGAAAACAGTGATCAATTTTAAAACCCACAAACAATACAAATCTATAAACAGTGCATAAATACAGAGCCCTGGAAATTCCAAAGGTGGGATCAGGTGCCAAGGAGGGGTAAGCATCCCCTTACAACTGGACGTGCACACCTGCTGGGATCCTATGTGTTGACCAGGTAGAGAGATCTAAAGTATTCACTTGTCAAATTAATGTATAAAAACAAAGGTCAAACAGATAGTGATGGGAATCGGTAACGATTTCATAATCAATGATTGGGTTACTGTAACTAATTATCAATATTATAATCAGACATTTAAAAAGTCTATCAATTTAAACAAGTAAAGGTAAGAATGGATAAATGACTACTTTCTATGGTGGTCCAGCTGGTCCTCCACTCATTTTGTAAAACCCAGAGTACACCCATACCCGGGAAAATGCTTTGTTATCCGGGTATTTTAAACTACCCCACCTCTGTTGATTTTTCCGTGAAATCCTGGCTTACGATTGGTTGAAGTCTGTCACGTGAAGCAGTGGATTACTTATACCCGGTCAGTTGTAAATCCATACCCGGTCAGTAAAATCCATACCCGGTCGATGTATTACGTCACAAACACAAACGTGACGTCATAATAGGCACAGTATAAGCCCGATAAAGCATTTAGCAGAGAAAACCATTTATAAACCACAGATAAAACGTAAATGTTTCATCGGTGGGGTAAATTCGTTACATAGTCTTTTAGTGACAGGGTATGGGATGATACCTGGTTAGTAAATTTCATACCTGACTCGGCTCCGCCTCGCCAGGTATGAAATTTACTAACCAGGTATCATCCCATACCCTGTCACTAAAAGACTATGTAACTTATAATACACTTTCATGTTTATCTGCACCATTACGTCACACACAAATTAGTTAATGGCTATGTGGTGGCTGGAAAATTCAGCTTAAAAACAATTACGCTTGTAAAATAAATTAATAAACTGATTAATCAGCATTTTAAAATGCAGTCGAGCACTTGGATTATGCCAGCAAACAAATGATTTTCGATTATAATCGATGATTGGAAACCACTACAGATCAATATAGAATATTAGGGCTGGGACGATTCAACTTTCTCTACATCCATAATTATGTATCACGATTTGAGCCACGATACGATATGTATCACGATATCGTTAATTGTTTATAAAATCTTTCTTTGCATTGAAATAAACAAATTATTTCTTTGCAAATAAGAATAATTTATTCAAAAAAGTTGCTTATATGTGGTAAAACAAAAAAATTTTTACTCAGATGGGATTATTTTTATTTATTTCATATCTATCTTTATATTTAATTTATTTATTTTACATATTAAGCCCCAATTGTTAAATAAACAAAGAAAAATAGAAGTCAGGTTTTTATGGGCGATATTTCGATATTTCTTCACATGTATCGATATGCGTATCGTCCTCACAGATATCATGATATATCAAAATCTTGATATATCGTCCCAGCCCTATGAAATATGTCAAAGGTCATTATAACAATCATATAAATCATTAAATGCATACCATGAATGACGATGTAGAAATCTCCATGATATCAACCTATTTGCCAGTAGCCTGATTAATTTGTTTTAAAAATTGGTCATACTAAAAGCATATGTTCAGAAAAAAAATGGAAACACATTTACCATGTGCAAGTGATTGCGGAATATTTAAAACTTGAATAAGGAAAGTTGACGATTGGAAGCCATCTCGTTAACAATACAATATAGTTATAGTTGTAACACAACCAAATGTACATGTGACAGATGTGGTTGGTACACTGTCATGTCTTTAACGTTTGATTTCAAGTTCACTAGGAGTCAACACATGTTGGAAGATTATTGTTTAATTAATTCTTATCAATTTCATATCGGTATGATAAAATGCAAAAAATGAAGGCTATTTGTAGATTCAGAGAGTGACAACAGTACTATTTCCTTCTATCATAGAACAAAAAAAAAACCAAAATGACATGCTGATTGCAGTGACACCATTCATGCATTTGCGGTGGATAGAAAGGGGGCGTGGTCAGAACTGGGAAGAAAAGGTGGTACCTTCATCGGCATGTAGATCGTCATCACTTTCCGACATTACAGTCATCATGACGAGAAATTACTTTAGTCAAGGGCAAACAACCTGTATCTGAAACAGACGATAAGATCTAACAATGTCCTGTTGACAGTTTGCGGTGAAAAGTGATTAACAAAAATACCATTTTGTAACGTTCCGTAGCTTGCATTTTCACTCATCTTTAAGATTATCCAGAATGTATTTCCATTTTGCATACGATCATAGTGGCAACTTGAGATGAAGTTGGATCATTTGAACAAGCGTACCACGTCAAACATCAACAACGTTTGTAACATTTAAAGTCTTTTCGGTGAAGACATCAAGTTCCGGAAGTGTGTTTTCAAAAGCTACATTCTTTAAAGGCACGTAATATCGTTTTTGAAACGAGAGAGATGGATTATAAAAAAAAAATAACAGATTAACTGGAAAATCTTTGACAAGTAGGCCTAAAAGATAAATAAATAAAAATTCTAAAAGATATCTTCAAAATACAATTTGAAAGGGAGGGGGGAGGCATATAGGCAGGCACGTAGCAACAGCAGGGACCTGCCCCTTTTTTTCCCAACATTACTTTTGCTAGATTGAAAATGTTTATTGAAAGGCAACCTGCACTACTTTTTACTACAGTAAAGTGAAATCGGGGAAATGTAGTATATTATGCAAAAAAGTGGTACTGAAAGGAAAGTTGCTCTAAACCCCCCCCCCCCCCCCCCCCCGAAATAGGATTTTCGTATTTGGGCATCTTCGCTAGCCAGGGGTTTCTGATACGCTACACTCCTCGGTATTTTGAGGAGAGTAGCGTATCAGAAATCCTTGGCTATTTGGGTAATTTTCTCTTTTCTTTCTTTCTTCTTCTTTTTTTTTTTTTTTACTTGTCGACTTTTTCAGGCAAGTATTTTTTTTTCTCTGACTGCCCCCCCCCCCCACTTTCAAAAATGAAAACATGAAAAACATCGAGATAACGAACTGTATTCAATATCAAAGTCCATTAAACATTACAACTTTGGAGCAGAGCAAACACAGGCTTCCAGAACATTCAGAGGTGGGATCAGGTGTCATGGAGGAGTGAGCATCCCGTTCCGGACGGTCACACCTGCCGTGTGCTCTTTGTGATAATCGGAAAAATGTCGGAGAAACTATGTCTCCTGATCAAATTTTGAATATTTTGCTATTGGTGATAGGCAATTACCTAAAATAAACTGTTCAATTTTTGAAGCAGTCCAACTGTACATCAAGTCTTCAAAAAGATTTTGATGGTATTTTGTAATTAAGTAAAAAAAATAAAAATAAATCCAGATATTTCTTATACACTAGACAAAATTGCTAACGCACCACTTGTAAATTTTTATTTGTGAATTGAACATTTGCCGGATCGGTTCTAGTGAATATGATATGCCATTATTTCAAAAGCAGTGGGATTGACAAATGTCTTGGCATCATAAAAAACCATTGAATGACCTTCTTGTCCGAAAACTATTTCCAGCTGTGCATTGCGCACCATTTTTGCACAGATATGAAATTCTTGATCACTAAATGGGTCTGTGAGATTGCACAGGAGTAGCCTCCCAGTTAAAATTAAAATAACAAACAGTCATTGAGTCTAATATCTCCTAGTAATCATCTGATACCTTAGTGTCCATACCAAATCCACTCCACTTCCGGTTGACCCAGTTTTGTGGAACAATTTTCAACTTATTGTATGCTGCTAACTTAATGCCGTGGTTTTCTATAGTTAACATTTTTATATTTATTTATCTATTTGGAACAATTTTTCACGAGTGGAATTCATTAGCTTTTTATTGCTTTTAGTTTTTACAGATTTTTCTAGGGGAACCTCCTGCTGACGCCATCCTGTCTGCTTTTGCACGCTCTTTTAGCGTCAAACGCTACATACGGTGTAACTTTTTTCTGAATTTTCAATTAGTACAATTGGAAAGAACACAAATACACAGACAAAATTCAATTTTTTTTCTTCAGAAATGGAATAGACACGATTTTATCTTATTCTATGAATTGGTCACACTTCAATAAACATTGTAGTTATTTATAAGGTTTGACATAAATATGCCTCATTTTTTTGTTAAAGTAACATATTTATATATCAAATGCATCATAAACAGGTTTTAAAAAGTAAAATATTAATTCTCTTAGGTGGTGCGTTAGCAATTTTGTCTAGTGTACATGTATTTCTATTTACTTCAAGTCTCAGCATTTCCATGTTCCATGTATATGTAGTATTTTTCCATGGAAATCTTCATTAGTTTTTTTCTTTACTCAGTGTTATTGCTTGATCAAAATTTATTTATTTATTAATGTTACTTAAAGCCATATATGGCGTAACTGATCAAAAAAAAATATTTTTTGAAAAATACAAAATTAAGTAAAGAAATATAGTTAATACATTCAAATTAAAGCTTTTCATATAACTCTGAACACGGAGAACACCTCGTCTCATCTAAAAATACAATTTTATCTTCTCTGTACTGTGTTATTTAAATCTTTTGTATTTTCTTCCGATACGGAGAAAATTCCGAGAATCAAATTTAAATTGTGATATCTTTATAACGCAATTGACTTAGATTTTGTAATTTACGGAAAAGTTCTATCTTTATATAAAGTAATGATACAAATAATAAGTTCTTATAATTTTAGTCTAATAATTTTCACTGCACATACGCCATATATGGCTTTAAGAAATGAATGTAATATTTTTTCCTTTGATCGATGTATTGTAATATTTCGGAAATCTATATTGTAATCATACGGATTCAGTTATTAGGTGACGGGTGTAAACATCCGCTTTAAAATGTATATAAAGGCTGAATCCACGTTATAGAGCGTTCATTCCAGTGTAAGCTGTGGAGAGTACAAGACGTGTGCGAACAGACAGCGATATAAGTGAGACTATCAAGTCAGCTTACAGAAGAAGTCTACCTTATAAAATAAATAAGGTCTAGTCTAAAAGAAAATAAATAAAGGCTGTTGTGTTCTTCGAGTGGCAAGCCACTCAGAGGCTAACCAGCAACAGAGGTTAGCCACCACAGCTGTAATCCGTCTTGTCGACCTGTCTGGCAACCAAGCTGTTGTGTGCAGTGTGTCTGCCTGAATAAGGCTAGCAGTGTGCACAGCAGTTGAAGGGCTGTCACTTGTACTGACTGTGTCCTGAATAAGGCTGCAGTACAAGCGTCAGCCTGAGGTTGGCCAGCATTAGAAATAGTCTACCCACTGCCATTTTCCCAATCATTTGTAATTCTCTAAAGCACTGTGATTATTAACCTAGATAAGGTTGGCCATTTATTTGTATATTTTGAAGGCCTTTGTAATCAATCATTTGTCAATCATTTATTAAGAAAAATTATATTATATTGGAAATCATCCCCCAAAACCTTGAATCGACAAGGTACGATCCCCGATTGCTATCTTATATTCCGCTCGACACGTTACAAAATTTGGTGGCAGCGGTGGGATTTGGGGTACTTGATTTTATTTTTATGATTTGCTTGTTAACTTTAGTAGCTACCAATAATCGTATTTGTTAGTATGAGTAGTATGGATGACCTTACTAAAATCGAAAGAGAGCTAAGTAGACTTCAGGCAAGCTTTGATGAAGATAAAAGAAAGACCGCTAAAGATTCAGGTCTACCTGAAAGCAGGCGGACAACCTTAGATGATGAATATTATGAGGCAATGGGTGCGAAACCTAAATTAGTTGGGACGACCACTCTGCCTACTGATATATCAGAAAGAAGAGAGCCTGAGAGCCGCATTAGCTTAGGTAGGTCAGATGACAAGCCTCCAGATAGGTTTTCCTTAACAAGTACACCTTTTGTTAGAAATAGACAGGATGACCCTCTGTTTACAAATATTACAACACGCAGACCTGAGGTAAGGGCAAGTGTTGATCAACATAAGGGTAACCATGTAAAGCCAGATAAGTTTGATGGTACTACCTCATGGTTAGACTTCAAATCTCATTTTGATGTATGTGCTGAGTTGAATGGGTGGACAACATCTGAGAAAGGCATGCACTTAGCTGTTTCCCTACGAGGTCGGGCACAGGCTGTGCTGGGCAGTCTTCCAGAAGGAGAAAAATGTA